AGAAAAAAAAAAAAAAAAAAAAAAAAAAACAAAAAAAAAAAGAAATCGTAGAGAACGCGCGTGGATCGAGTAGAACAGATGTGCATCATAGAGAATCGATCATTGTGACTGCTGGTCCCACCTTGCTTCGTTTCGCATCTGTCCTGATCAGTCCATCGAGGAACCGCAACACCGATGCAAACGATACTTCTCTTACATGTACTATATTCGCCATTCTACACATCTCTCGCCAACTCTTGTCATACTAGCTCGTATAGCTGTAGATTAAGAAAGCGTACATCGCGTCGAGCGTTCTTCGCACGATCATACGGAGAAGAGACGGTAGTGTGGATCGTAACGTTCAAGATCAGCGCCATTCGATCTCGTCCGATCTCGTCCGACCTGGACGAATTCGATAAATTTCCCGCGGATAATACCCGTTCGAAGGAACGACAAAGAGATATCGGGATTGATCACGAATATTCGTCAACATCGATTGGATCGTAACGAATCGGTGGCTCTGATCTAGACCTAGAACGTATCTAGCCTAGCGGGTAGCACGAGCGCCGTTGAACAGAAACTCGGGACGGGTGAATCGTTGCAACGATTCGAGAAATATCGGTGTAGCGCGTCTCCTCGTTTCCTCGTGCGATGTGCCAATTCATCGAACCAATTCCGTCTGATTGCAGTCGGATTGCAACCGGTACACTAAGGTGCGCGGAGGCCGTTCGTCCTCTGCGCCATTGCACAAAACGCACAAGGTCAGTCAGGGCAAGTCCGAGTCGGAGGAATACGACACCCTGGGCTCGGATAGCGACACGGAAGTCGGGACCAGCAGCCGAACCGAGTCTTCCAATCACCTCGTCGATTCGCACCACTCGGTGTCTGCGGCCGACTCGCGTGTCCACAGTATGCAATCTTTCATCCTTCTATTCGGTTTATGCCTTGTCTCATCCTTTCTCTTTCTTCTCTTTCTTTCTCAGTCTCTGTCTCTATCTCTGTCTCTGTCTCTGTCTCTGTCTCTAATCTGTCACTTTCTTTCTTTATTTTTCACTCTGTCTGTCTCTCTACCTCTGTTTCTATCTGTGATCTGTCTAGTTTGTTTGATCCTGATTTAACAAGGATGCGCTCCTCGATCCTCGACGTCTCTTTGACGATGATGCAACGAAAGGGAAGCGAAAGGAGAGGAGCGTTACCCAGATATTTTCCATGCACCGTGGTATATATCGGACCTCCGTTCCCGTTGCCTGTCTATACGTTTATTAGAGTGCACCGAACGATGTGACCGAGTATTTCACGCTTGTTTGTTGTCACCGTAAGACGTTGGAACGGAATCGGGGGGTTGTCGAAGGAGAAGCTTCGCGAATATTCACGTTCGTACTTTCATCGTGGAAAATCGTTCTTATCCTCTGCTTGCAGACTTCCTGTACCATGGACCAGAATCTAGTACGTCTACAGAACCCTCACCGATTTTTGAGAGAAAATCGTTTCCTGGAAGGGGAAGATCCAAGTAAGTCGAGCCGAGTTAATCAAGCTGGTAATTAAGTTAGTCACGGCGACGTTAGAACGGTGCGAGAGCTAATGAACGGTTATCGTTGAAGGATGTTACAGCTGGCGCGTCATACCAGCGAGGAGACCCGTTCCAACTTCGGCCCAATCTCCGGGTTTGGCAATCCCAAGCACCAGTCGAGCAATTCCTGCTCAAATCGGGACCAGGAGCGTGACGGATCAGGGAACCTGTTCGTCCCCAAGCTGGACCCACCCACGGGCTTCTCCGACGCGTTTGAGCTAAGCGAGGCAGAGTGCGACCTCGATCGCGGCCACAACAGCCAACGAAACGTCCGTGACTTCGCAATCGCGGTGTAAATAGAAAGAAACGTAGAACCTACGGTGAACCTGCACGATGCTACGCGAACCAGCGAAACAAACGAAACCCCATTTCAACTATCTCGATGTAAAGAAAACACCATGGTGGTCCGTCTTTCGTTAATTATCATTGGCCACTGTGTTCGCAGCGGCCACTGAGTAATGTGCTCCCTGTTCGTGTTCCTGGCCTATGTCGACGGGAAAGTGTCAATCGTATCCTATAACAAAAGCGAACGTACTGAACTCGACCATGTGTTCTTCAAACTGCCACTTCGTTCGAATTCGCGAGAGCCTGCGACCACGTGAAGACCGTTTCTTCGATTTCGATGTTTCTCGTTTGAGTTCCGAGCGAGTATATAGACCGATCCTGAGCGCTCTTTCGGGTGAATTCGATCGACCAAACTTTTATCGACTGCCATTTCGTTCGAAAAGAAAAACGATTGTCCTATATAAGAGAGACTTTACTCTACTTCTCTACCTACTTTGTAAATTAGACAAATTTTCGCAGGTTATCGAACGACTATTGATACGATTGCTCGAGTTCGATCAACACGTCCGTTTGAGTCTGTATCACGCTAAGACTGCGACAGAAGAGCGTACTCTACTGTAAGCGATCCGCAGGGAAGGTTTTGTCTTCCCTGCGCGAAAGACTCCTATTATCTTTATTAACCAAAGACTCGAATCATGCTGAATACTATCGTTGAACGCGGATCGTCCTATCGTTAAGACTACGTTGCAGTAAACATTCACGACAAAACGGTTTCATTGTACCGAGTGCATATCCCAAGCGAGCAATACGCCATTTGTTACGAGTTTACTTGGTCTTCCAATTTCGTAGATCGTTTTATCTACTCATTTCACCGTCGTCCTTTTTAAAGCGAAGAAACGCGTGAACGATTTCTTTTTCACCTCGAACGAGCCAGCATGTTTCTCGTTCGTGTACCAACCGTGTGTTGTATACGTGTATAAATAACGAAGCTAGGCCGTGAAGAAAAAAAATGATGTTTCGTCGTTGTCATCGGTGTCGTTTCATTTACGCGAGACTGAAACGTTAGTAGATGAGACGTGTAGCGTAAACTTTAACGTTGAAATGAAAAAAAAAATAAATAAATAAATAAACTATTGTCTGTAAGATGTCTGTACTTACCATGCTGTTAACCGTGTACGTATTGTACCTCACCCGAACGCGTGAACGCGGATTACGAGAAACGAAGGAAGGTGAAGGGGAAAAGATAAGGACGAGAAGAGAGGTAGAAAATGTTAACTAAACGTCGTTTCGCCGCGTTGAATTTCGCGCGTCGATTAACGATCGACGGACCGAGTGATACGCTAAGAAAAGCAGACAGCAAAAGCAAAAAAAAAATAAAATAAAGTAAAATAAAATAAAATAAAGTAAAATAAAGTAAAATAAAATAAAATAAAGTAAAATAAAGTAAAATAAAATAAAAGGCAGAGTATTAATAAATTTGTTCGACTGTCGTTAATGAAAACGCACCCACCGAGTCTGTAACGCATCTGTTGTCATCGAATCAGTTTAACCGTATGTATGTACAACCAATCGATCGTTCACTCGGCAACGTGACGATGATTTTTGAGTCTGAGTGCTCTCTCGTTATGTCGTCGTCCCCGATCAGAGGGCATCGCGAGCCCGCATCGGGGGCTACGAAAGAAGAGATATCGATCTGTTGACAAATCGTATACTTTATAATATATGAACAAATGATTTACCACGAAATTCGTACTATTGTGTTTTTAGACGACTTTAGATTGTTTATATTCTATTTACTTTGTAAAATATACAACACTAATTCCATAACGGAATTCCACTTTTCTCGTGTATTATTCACCCATTCTCCTCCACCTGATCCTTAAAAATCGCTCAAAATTGATGGAAAATCTATCGAATCTTACCGCGTGTCGACGAAATTCGACGATGAAAAATTCAAAAGAAAAAGAAAAACGCGGGAAGTTGATCGAAGTCGATCGAATAAAATCGGCGATAGAACCGAGAGGGTAAATCTGCTTTCCGAGTTGATACTCGGTTCGTGACAACTCTGTCGAGCGACGAGAGGGAAATTTTCCGCGAGAAAAGCGGCGCCCGGGCAGAAAGGCTTTCCGCAAACGCGCTGATCGATCGAGTTTCGTCCTTCTCCCGATCGCGGATACGAATATGCAAAAGGAGGAATGCGGGAAGGACGGAGGGTCGCAGAATCCTCGATATACGAGCACGAGGAAGGAAGAAGGGGTGCATGGACCGGTGAGGTCGAACAGGGTTGCTGGGCATGCGCCGACGTTCCTGTCCTCTCCAGATACTATGAGCGGTGGTGTCTACGGCGGAGGTATGTGATACGCGGTCCGCAATATTTCGGGGAAAACGAGAGGGCGGCCTGACCGAGAATTCCGTAAAGCTTGTGGATTTTTCCCGCAGACGAGGTCGGTGCTATCATTTTCGACGTTGGACACCAGAGCCTTCGCGTTGGCTATGGCGGTGAGGACACTCCGAAGGCTGAAATTCCGACTACCCTCGGTGTATGGGAGGACACCGCCGACTCGCCCGACAGCGGTCAGAACGTCAGGAAGCACTACAACATCGATGTCACGGCCATTCAAGTGCGAAAGAAGGGTACGATTATTCCAAATACCGTAATCTTATATAGACACACGATTTACCACCTGCTTTCTCGCTTTCGCTGTCATTACCCTCCGTCGCGAATTCGGCAAATTATTTAATCGAAGAAGATCGCGTGTCGTTCGCGTGTCTCGCGCTCTGGAATATCGATAAATCTAATTTCTCGTCGCGAATAAGAGCCACGGTATACGAGAAAGCAAAATACATCGAATCGGAGTGATAAAAATTAGCAAAAATCTAGACGTATCAATCCCTAATCAATGTCTAACTTCCTAGATATGGAGATGGTTAGCCTAATGAAAGACGGTATGATCGAAGACTGGGACATGTTCGAACGACTGACCGAGTACACGTACAAGCAGCGTCTACACGCTCTACCCGAGCACCATCCGATCCTGATGACCGAGTGCCCGTGGAACACCAGACTGAAACGGGAGAAACTGCTGGAGCTGATGTTCGAGAAATTCAACGTTCCAGCGATGTACATCTGCAAGAACGCGGTTTTGGCAGCGTACGCGAACGGCAGATCGACTGCCATGGTAGTGGACAGCGGGGCGACTCACACGAGCGCGGTTCCGGTACACGACGGTTATGTCATCACTCAGGGCATCGTGAAAAGCCCATTGGGCGGTGACTTCATCACGATGCAATGCAGGCAGTTCTTCGAGGAGAAAGAAATCGAGCTGATACCCGCATCCCTGGTCGGGAGCAAAGGCAAAATTAACTATACTCGAGGAATCGTGGCAACGGGCCGGGAAAAGCAATAATAATGACATAATTCGATCGACGTGGACGGTAGTGATGCACGGATTTAACGTTGACTTCAATTGACACCGGTCGTGCTAAACGGAATTACCGTGCTATAAAAAGGAATGTTTAGTACATCGTAGAACGACGGCTATTAGCGGGCACAAAGGGAGCAGTTAATCCTTTCAGCGCGCATTTTGAACGATGAACGCGCGCTGTGTGCAGAGCACTTGAGTCGTAACACGTTGAATGCATTCATTCGACGTCCGCGCGCCTTCGCCGCACGCGCTGGCCAGATTTACCGAACACTTATCAACGCTCGCGCTGCTGAAAGGGTTAAGGAGTGTTTAGACTTCCACATTTTTCTCGCCGGCCGCCCGTCTCTCAACCTTTTCTTCTCTAATCCACCCCAGCCTTCCGGGCGTGCTCTGCTAAGTCCATTCAAACCGTCGTTTCGACGTTTCGCAACATGTACCACTCGAAACGCTCTTCTTAAGTCTCCTTATCGATTGCTTTTCTCTCCGCAAGATCAATCGCGCCGTTGCTTACACGCGATACTATATGCAAACGTGCGCCATCGAGAAACTGATGCAATGAAAATGTCACGCAGATGTAGTACGAGAACGAGACCCCCCGAGGTGGACCAAAAGGGCTGGTCCTCAACCGACGTCTTCCTGGATGAGCTACATGGTACGCGAGCTGTTGCAAGACTTTCAAATGAACTGCCTACAAGTCTCCGACAGCCCTTACGACGAAGACATGGCCAACACTTTGCCAATGAAGCACTTCGAGTTCCCGACCGGGTACAACGACGATTTCGGCTCCATTAGACTGATGATTCCGGAAGCCCTGTTCGATCCCAGCAACGTGAAGGGTGTTGGTGCCAGCATCCTTGGCATCGGGCCTCTCGTCACCACCAGCGTCGGCATGTGCGACATGGACATCAGACCTGCAAGTATCATGGAGTATCTTACTTTCGTATTTTCTCTCCTCGAAACCGTCTTTGAAACGCTTCTTCCCTTAGAGCCTGTACGGAAGCGTGGTGGTGACCGGTGGTAATTCTTGCCTGCAAGGCTTTAGCGAAAGACTGAACCGCGACCTGGCCAGCAAGACTCCTCCAGTGGGTACTATTTCTTCGTTCATTCCGTCTAAAACAGCGATTCCCAACCACACGTGTACCACCAATGGTACATTGTATGTTGTACGTGGATATTGTATTCTATTTCGAAACCCTGTACCATGGAGTAGACCACGAGGAGTGAGCACCGTCTACAAAGTGGTACACGTGTACACCATCCGATTACGTATCTATTGGTAGTACTCGAGGAAAGAGAGTTGAGAAACGCTGGTACAAAGTAACAATTCCTGCATGCAGCGACGATGCAGCCGATTATAAAGCTAATTTACCATGTTTCGCAGAGTATGAGACTGAAAATAATTAGCGCAAACAGCTCGAGCGAGCGTCGCTACGGTGCCTGGATAGGAGGGTCAATCCTGAGCTCTCTTGGCTCCTTCCAGCAGATGTGGCTGTCGCGGCAAGAGTACGAGGAGTCGGGGAAGCTGATTCTGGAGCGGTGCGCGTGATCAAAAGCTCAAGCATCGATCAAAATTGTAATTCGTAATTATTTTTACAAAGCGTCCGACATTTCGTGCTCACGTACTTTGTATTTCGTCTAGCGGACTGTCAATTTCTAACGTTAAGTTTCGAGTAGTCAGGCGTACGGGCGAACGCGAGACAATACGAGCAACTGATATCAAACGATTTTCGCGCGTGTAGGGTTTATTTAGGGAAATTTCCACGGTGAGAGGAAGTTGACGAGGTTGTCTAAGCTTGTTGTGCTAAATATTCTGAAGCTGAACGAGCTTTGCGTTCGTGGAATGACTGTAACGTTCGTGGATGGAGGAAGCACGAGAAGAGCTCGAATAGGAACGGAAAAATAGGTAAAGCGAAAGCGGAGCGACGAGGTTCTACATATGCATACGATATAAATGCACGCGGTACGCTTCTAGGAGATAAAACACAGTTCCTAACTGCTCGAGTAACATTCCATTCGTAATTCGCGTGCGTGGCGATCACGGTTTTGGCATCGCGACAAGCGTCGAGAGAAGGAACACTGTTTAAAAAGTATTTCATCGTTTATTTCGAACGTAGTCACAACACATTACATGTTTAAACAATCCTTCGATATCGTCTGGTTTCCACGCTTCTCTACTCAATCGTTTGCTTTCTCTCTTATGTGTTTCCCTGCGACGAACGGGTGGAAGAAAAATAAAATACGGTAAAGTAAAATTGGGAGAACCGCGAACCGCAACATTCGTTTTTGAACACGTCACGAGCAGTTCCAATTCTACAACGACAAATATATATATTACGGCTTAGTAAACAATATAATATCTCGCATATAAATATATATATATATACTATATATATATTTATATCTCAGTAAACGTAGGAAACAGTATTATCGATGTATCACATATACAATATGTATTTAGGAGAAGGCGAATTATTTTGTTAGAATGAATGAAAGGACCTCTCTCACGATGCCAACGAACAAACGTTCGTCGAGACTTCCGGTCCTCCCGTGTTTACTCTGCGGCTCGATTATACTTCTAATTAATACTATCACGAGTTCCAACAGTTGTCCACTTTGTCGAGGAATGTTTCAAATTTCGCGCCTGATGCCAAATTCGCTCCATCTTTCTCTATTCTCTTTTTACAAAAACACGGAATTTCCAGAGGAAACGTGAACGAGCACTCGACTCGTGTAGAGCTATGATACAGGGACGATCGAAATACGAAATTTTCAATAAGCTGCTGAAATAGCGGCTATCTGGTAACCAGTATTTTCGAACCGGTATTCGTACGACACGCGAGTATCCGATCGTTCGTATACGGAAAGAGAAGTGTTAGAAATCGAACTCGCTGGTTCCGTTCATCGAGTCCGCCTACGACGCGTGGCGGAGGATCGATGTGTTACGCTAACTATAAATACTGGTATTGCTCTTGTTATCGAGCGACCAACGTTAAACGGCGTAAAAATCTACTAACTAAAGAACGCCCGATGAAACGCATATACACGTGTAACCGTAGTCGGAAAACTCGAGTCGCGTTTACAAATGATTATCGCTACGATGCTCGAGCAGGACAATCGATCCTGTCGAAGACGAGTAAACTTAGATCGAGACGAGATCTGACACACCTTCTCGTCTTACGTTCAATTTCTGATTTGTCTGTCGCGCTTTTCGTCTTTCTCCTTTCTTCCAGCAAACAAAATCAAAAAAGAAAACGCACAGCGAAACGAAATCCAACCAGCTGCAAGATAATCCTGTTCCTAGTCTTTTAAATATTTGTACCAAATAAATCTCAGAACAATCGAACTTATAACCTAGCGAGTTGAATTTTCTCGGTCAGGAACGTATCGGTATAGCACTTTCTCAGGTGAACCGTGGTCCACATTGCAACCATAGTCCGTGATTCCAACTAGACGAAAGATTAAACGACAAATGGAAAATTATTCGAATAAATCGCAACGATGCTCGAATACTATCGAGTCACGATTGTCGCGACGCTAGGCTTCGCTAATAAAAACGACGGCTTATCGGCTAGAAGCCATCACGGTGTACGTACGACGTTACGTTATCGGTTATCAACGCTTATCGAGGCCGTGAGAACGCATCGAGGAGTATATCGGTAATAAATAACGCATGTACCACGGCATGACGGTACGCTCGTGTTTGTTCGCACGATCGCTGTCAAATACTATCCTGCATTTGTCCACCTAACTGCCAACTCTAGCCGGTTGTGGTAGTCTGCAAATGGCATTGTGAACCGGCATAGACAGCCACCCTGCCAACGCGATGCCGATGGAGTCGGCCATCGTGGCAATTCCCAGGGAAATCTTACGGTCCGCTCTCGGAATCTGCACATGCAAATAGAAAATACGACATTTCGTCCATTAGCGATAATTCGAAGGAACGTGAGTTGCGTCGTGGGGGACTATTTTCAAGTCTCGAGAAAAGAGACCCAAA